GATTTCCAGCATTTTGTCCATATTGCGAAGGAGGAGGAAATGATTGCGTTGATGTGGGAGGTTGGTCTCGTGGGTTCGATGGATATGGTTGATATGGCTGCTGATGTTGCTGATGTGGCTGTTGGTATGGCTGATTTGGTTGGTATTGCTGCGGAGGTGGTTGTGATTGTCCGTATTGACCATATTGCTGGTACTGTTGGGGAGGTGGAGGCTGTCCATATGGTGGATTATACTGATTGTACTGTTGCTGTTGATATTGCTGTGGTGGAGGTGGAGGTGGAGGATGACCATATGACTGAGGATGGGGAGATGTTGGAGGTTGCCCATAAGGAGACGCTGGCGGTTGTCCGTAAGGTGAAGGCTGTCCGCCATACGGAGATGGTGGAGGCTGACCATGAGGGGACGGGGACGGTTGACCATACGATGGATATTGCGGATTGGGGGATGGGGACGGATGCACAGGTGAAGAAATCTGACCTTGCTGACCTTGACCATACTGTGGTTGACCGCTGGTTGGCTACATTATATTATAATCAGCAAACGTTCATTTTCAAATAAACATTGAGGATTTGCAAAAGGAAGAAAACATACATATGGTGGCTGACCAGCTTGAAGAGCTGGAGGAGCTCCTCCTTGTGCCTGCTGTGCAGCTGCCATCTTAGAAGCTAGCTGTCCCCCCGGATACGCATTAGTATTTGGTCTTCCGTACATCTTGATTTGTGTGTATATAAAGACTTTAAAAGCTTACCCCCATTCTTTCGAAGTAAGATTTAATAGTCTTTTGTAGGTTGATTTTTTTGAAAAGTGTTAGACAAAAGAATTCTCAAGTAATTTATGTAGACTGTGAAAGGTCTAATTAAAGGTCGTCGTGGATATTTGAGTAATGGGAAAAAGTAAACCGTGGCGGGCGTAGCTTAATATGATTGATGGTGGGGTGATGATATAATGAAATACCTGTTGATGACGAACGCAGGGATTCACAGCCTTGTAACATGCTCTAACTATCTACGAAAGACCAAAGTGAATTAAAACGGACCATTCACATCTATTTCGTCAAATTGTTTATCCAAGGAGTGGTATGAACTCTTGGGGCTTGGCATATTTTGGAACTTTTGACCTCTCATAGGGCGTTTAGTTGCCTTTGTCGTGCTTACCTTGCTTTGAGCATGCTTGCCACATGCTTGGTTGAAAGAGGCTATGCTGCATTTGTACCTTGCACTGGTGTAAACCTACTCTTACATACGTGATGCAATACAAGTATGTAGATAGACATATCTGTAGGTTCTTATACGAGCCACCGTATCCGTTGCCTTTAAATCGTATGCAAAAATCTAAATGTAAATAAACATTTGAGCTTCGTACACCGACGGTCGGATGATCACGGCAACAAAAGATGTGGTTCAGGGGTTAAGAGGGGTTGATATGCTGCACTAGCGTAGATGCCGAGCTAATAGTGGAGTTTAGTAAACGTTTAGGCTTCGTTTCTATGCCGACTATTGCGAAAGACTCCAGTGTAATATATTGATCTAATTAAATAATAATTATCTGCTTCGCTGTCTTCTTCAATACAACTCCATGAGATAGAGTTGTACGAATTTGCTCATATCATTCTTCGAATTTTGAAACGTGCTCGGCGAAGTTGAGGTTGTATTGCTACCTCACATGAACTTGTGTGAAAGCTACCCCTCCATAAGCAGTGTAACAATGCAGCACAGCCCAATTTTGACCCTGTGGAAAGCCTGTCGTATCAAAATGCGACAAGGCCATTTGCGAACTTGACCAACGGGAGACTACACTCAACAGCCACACTACTTGATCGAAAAAAGTATAACATTGAAATTAATCTAGATATCATTCATTATAACATTGGTGCATGTTCATGAGAAGGTGTTAACGGCACCAAATCATCTTCATCACCATTCAATAAACCTCTATGTTCCCCTGTTCCTGCTTCTCTTGCAAGTCCTGTCTCCATACCAATATCATCCTGTCCGTTCATTCTTCTAGTTTCTTCTGCACCATTCAATACGTACCAGACGTCTTTCTTCGTCAAAAATCCTTGTAATACGCCTCGATCGCAATAAAGAACATATCGGACACCTAGTTTTTGAAAATAGTTTGCCGTGAGGAGAAGATTTGATCGTGAAGGTAAAGTGATAGGTGTTTGATCCATCCATGGTCGAAGATCGAGTGTCGTTCGTGGATCCGCAAATGGTTGGTGTGAAAAGAATGCTTCCGTCTCGGGTCGAAGCGACCGAGGAGCTTGCGTGGACATTTTGAGATTGTATTGAAGTTCCGCTCGCGATATGTATCCCAATAAGATCGCTTCTCGAGGATCCGAGATCACGGGAAAGCCGCGATATGGATGACTTGCCAAAACATTGGTTAAAGATTCAATAGTATGACCAGTAGCGGTAAGCACGACAAGGTCTTCGATCCGAGTCATGATTTGCCGAACTGATATATCAGGGATGGGTGTCTCGTCACTATTATCCAAGAATGGATATTCATTCAAATGAATCCAACTTTCATATATCCCACGTTTCCCAAAAGCATCGCCAACCCATTTACTGATCATAACAGCGATCATAATTGGTAAAACATATGTTAGAGCTCCGGTAAGCTCGAACATAATGACAACAATTGAAACTGTCATTCTAGTCACACCACCTAGAGCAGCAGCAGCTCCAATAATCGCGTATGTACCGGGGGTGACACAGGGAATATCTGGCTCGCAGGTGGCGAATGCAAAGAATTTGGGGAAGTTGTGGACCCAGATCTCGACGAGAATGCCAACGGCACGACCGAAGAGCGCCCCTACTGCCATTGAAGGTAAAATGATTCCTGCTGGGACTTGAAGTCCAAATGTCATGGATGCTAAGAAGAAGCCCAGTACAGCTGCAAATAGTAATAAAAATATCGTTCCAATAGTAGCAGCACCAGTTTTGCATAACCCGAACTGGTCATCGGTAAGCTTCGAACACTCGGCAAACAAGGAGAAAACTAGCTCAGACGATTGAGTTCGCATGTAAAGGTTTGGGTAATTGACTAAAGCAGTCAAAGTGGCAACAATCATAACCTGTGTTATCGGTCCAGGAAGCCAAGTAGCAGTTTTCTTCCATTGAAAAATGCTTGTATTGACCTTGATAAAAAGTCCACCGTAAATTCCCTGAGCGATGTTAGACTATAGGAGTAGATGTTTTCACCAGAGAAGTCTTACCCCTAAGATACCTAGAAAAGCATAGGGTATCATTTCAAATCCATGCCAGCCAGTACTGTAAGTAACTTGATATAGAACAAGCTTTCCACTTCTAAAAGGGTCCAATGCCTGTAAAGTTACTGCAGCTGTCATGGCACAGACAAAACTTTGCCACATAGTTTTGTCGGGAAAATAGTACGAGAGTTGCTGAATTTAATTAGTCTATAGACATGATGATAACTAATCGAGTACCTACCTCTAGACTGAAGAGCACGCCACCAATAGGAGACCCAAAGGCAACAGATATACCAGCAGCTGCGGCCGCTGAAAGTACCTCACGTTTTCGAGCTGAACATTAAATCAGACGAAGATCGAGTTTCAAGCTTCAAAAATTGGACGTACCTTCGTTGCCATTGATGTTGACAAATAATTTCATAAACACATTTGCACAACAACATGCTACATGTACAAGCGGACCTTCTTTACCAAGCCACATTCCAGATGCAACCGATAGGCACTACTTAAATCAGGATCTAATCGGATATATATCAGAACGAAACTCACCAATCCAAGGGACTTAATAACCAATGTCCAGATCCCCATGAAACGCCGAATTACAAAGCCACCTAATATAGTTTTGATCTCTGGGATACCACTATGCTTCGCGTATAAAGCATATTCCTGTACCAAAACACTTGAAATGAAAGCAAAAGACAACTAGCCAATGTCAGTAATTGCACCGCGTATAACTATAATCGATGGACCCGACGTACCGAAAATAGTATAAAAAAGAAATACTCTATAAACCATTTTCCACCCGCCGAACCAATGTTTGACGCAACACTCCATGGTACCCAATCACGGCACTTAGCAACACTATCATAACCGTAGCAGCAGAAGAATTTGTTAAGGTAAAAGTGACCCCCGTCTTCTCCAGCTCGACAATATCCTGTCTTTAAATCTGCCAGAAAATCTGTGACAATGTCAATTCCGGCTGCAAATGCGCCAGCCGCCAGTCCAGTCAGAACAAGAACTATCCATATCTGACTTGCATCCAAAAGCTGTTGAACATATCCAACCAATCCTGTCGCGTTCGAGTATAACGTCCGTAGCCTTTGTCGTTCTTTCGTATATTCAAAGATCCAATCAATAGCTGTCATATCCTCATATCCAACCCGTCGACCTGGCCCCTCAACATACCAGTCCAATGGTCCACCATCTTTAGGTGTAGGACTATGTTGTGAATTATTTCCTATTGGGTACGCTCGACCATTCCCTGGACTCGTTGTGCTTCCCCTCGGTGATGGTGTATTATGTCGCGACTGGGATCCACTAATCGGTTTGGTAAATGCAGATAGAAATTTAGACGTCGCAGGTTGTTTCTGTTTGCGCTTAAATGAGAAGTGGTTTGGGCTGTCTTCGTCAAGTGGATCGTCTGCAAGTACAGCTTGGGGATCATCGTTATCGCTGTCATCTTCGGCTGAGGGATGATTTGGTGGACTGCGACTCGACGACGAATCGGGGTGTCGCCGATTTGCGAAGTAACCCGCAGATGAACTGGTCATCTTTATACATACGGTAGAAATATATGCATCTTCTGTGATAGTCGTGAGATGGGATAGCTTTGTCGTTGACTTAAGAGTCTCGAGTGCTCTAGAATCCTCCGGATTAATGTTTTACCGAATTCCGACCGAAAGCTGTTTGGATACTCAATCTCAATTCCATCACACCTCCAAAATCAAAATTTTATTTGATTCCGACGTGGATAATTGAAAGATTTTAAACATAGTTCGAGTCAAGTATGTCAGAATCAAAGGTCGGCGACATCTCAAATTCTGAGCCAACGGGTCTCAGTAGCCCTGGCGCAACTTTTGAAAAAATGAAGGACCTCCTAAAGGCGAAAGACGACACTTCCAGGTTCGTAGGACTTGCTCTCCTTAAATCCGTTCTTGACAACGAACAACAGCTCGTCAAAAATACAGAACGCCTACAAATACTTTGGGAATCCATATCCTCAAAGTTTTTGGATCGACTATTGCGAGCTCAGTTTGGTGGAAAAATTGACAAGGCCCAAGCAAAAGATATGGTAGATCTCGCAGTAGCTGTACTACATACATTCTCTATACTATTGCCAGAAGATGTTCGAAGGGGAACACAGCTCACGGGAAGAACAGGACCGCTGGTTAAAGCACTTATCCAAAGGTAACACTTCACTATTCGTATGTGAATCACGTGCTAATGCCATATAGTTCCCCTGAAACTACACAGCTAATTCTACAAACGCTGTTAACTATAGTCAGCCAGGTAGAGGGTTCTCTAGAACTTTTGAAAGTTGATGATATCTCTTCATTAACAGAGATAGCGCCACAATACCCTCTTGTTCTCGATATTCTAAATTATACTTGGGCAAATGGTTCTACGATCGATGTACAAGCTGTCTACGAAAGTATCAATCGAGTGATCCCAAATCTCCTTTTAGTATTCAAAGGAACTGACGCTGTTACATTTTTATCTTTCATTGCAAGCTTTATACCCAAGTTATCTTCTGAGGTAAATCAATAACTCCCCTACTCAGTACCGAGTCTAACATTTTTAGGCGCTTCCACGTAATCCAAAGTGGCTTAAGTCTGTAATTGTCTTGCTTCGTGAGTTAGTCAACAGAAAACCCACACTCGTTGGTAGAGTTGCATATACCCAGGCGGCAGCGGCATTGTTACAAGCATATCCTGTGACATGTCCTTCACTGTTGTTTAACGATGAAAGTCTGCATACCTCGAACAAGAATGATAGCAATAGCAAGCCGTTTTCTTATCTCTTTGTAAATCTTTTATTGATTGACTTGCGATCATCCTTCCCGTCACTCTTAGCGAAATTGAATAACAGTGATTATTCAAGTATCTCACAACGACTTGCAGCCGCATTTGACGTTCTCTCAAGCTTCATAGGATATCTTGTTCGAAGTCTCGATGAAGAAAACTCCAAATCCTTCACCATGCCCCCAGATTTAATGTTGAAGTTGCGAAAGGATATTGCTGAGACTATGTCTTTGGCAATTGAATACCTGCGAGATAGATGGGATGCATCTATTGCCGGTGCTTCTGGATTACATCCTTCTGCACGAGCTGGAACTGCTGCCACATCTGAAGGAACAAGACTCACTTTAACCTGGGATTCTATTCAAGATAAGGTTACTGTGGACCCTCTGATCCTAGCTAGTATCAGAGCATTAGCCATATGGATTCGTGAAGACGAGAACGAAAACCTACGCAAAGAAAGTGCTGGTATGATGGATATGTTCATTGAGCTATACAAAATAAGTGGCATGGATGAACCTGACTTCCGATATCCTATATTACTTGCGCTCGAAGGAATCATGACCACCGAGGATGGCGTGGAAGCTTTCTTGAACCAGGATGGATGGCAGGTGGTTTCCGAAGATCTCTTCCATATTCTTAGCCACATTGGCGATACCGCACCACTTACCAATTCTCAATCTTCCATAACTGCAGACGCAGCAAGAGGTCTTCAAATTGTACGCATCCTACTCGCAGTCATAGATGAAGAGTCAACATCATATATTAAACAGGAATGGTTGACTCTGATTTCAACCACATCTACCATGAACCTACCTGCCTCATCATCGTCTTCGGTGGTCATAGAGCTACATATTGCCATGCTACAACTATCCACAGCATTATTATCAAAAGCGGGAGAGGGCATGCGAAAGCGTTATGCCAATGATCAGAAGGCTCAAAGAAAAATGGCGGAGGAATTAGAGGTCATTGTAGGAAAGATGAGGGATAAGCAGGAGGCGGATGAGTTTAAGGAGTTGCTATCAGACGTAATGTTAGATTTGGAAAATTTAGGAGTAGGTAGATGATCACTGATATCTTTAGAAGTGAGATCAAAATGAAGCATGGTCTCTAGTTTTATGGATATCGTAGAAATATTAGCAACTCTACAAGGATCTAGGTCCGCAACAGGCTATAACTTCTGTGCATTTACAAATTAAATATAAGAATTTTCCATTATCGACCTCATTTTAATCTCATGTACCTTCCCCTTTCCTGCCTTCTCGCTCAGTACTTATCTCGCCTTCCACTTCGTAAGAGTCCGCTCATTCTAGCATCCACGCCCTCGTTCAATCTCATCTCCGAATCTTCTCTGGGTTCTCCTCTTTACAGCATAGAGAGAAAGCTTGATAGTTGAAGTCAGAGCCTGTTTTGCAATCGTTAGAACAATGAAATATTCATGTAATCGACTTGACGGCTTTGTAATGGCGAATTCCAGATCTACGAGTAAACTGTCGTGTTGCTAAACCAACTGTAAATAGCTCCTCTCATGTATATGCTTGCTATTTAGATGTGTTTTCTTCTGGTTTGATGACCCGGTTTTCACTTCCCACTCTTTCCCTAAACCCGTTTGAACGAAGGCTTAGGGCTTCAACGGGAGCGAGAGGAAAAGCACACCCACCAAAATGTCAATCTTAACGTGTCCCTTACTGCCAGAAGATAAACCAATAGTTCATTATTGTCTACGCAATCAATTCCCACCGAAGTCATACAACTTCGATGCGAATTCTTTTATTGAATATCTGGAAACATCTGAGGATGCAGGATTGAGATATTAGTCTGCATATGAAATATAAAGTGTAACACTGATAACGGATGTCGGACTAGATCCCGGTGTACAATCTGATTTATGGAGGTATACCGTACTCGTGGCTCTCTCTTGATGAACACAAACATGGATGTATATGTGGTGTACATGGATGCGGACAGAACCTTGGAGGAGAGACGAAATGAAAGTTCGCATGAGATGGTCGGATAGACTTAGGTGTTGTATTCATCTTGATGCTCGGTGTTTTGATCTTTCATACAGAAGATCTTTATCTCTGAAGTGCGAAACTTTTGTTGTTTACATTAAAGATCATGAAAGCCTTTCAATCATTTCTTCATTGAACGGCTCGAGCTCCCAGTATGTAAAATTGTCATGATCACAGTGTTCACCCTCATCAGTAGCAAGTAAGATTTAGGCGTTACGCCCAAAAATTATAAGAATTCTATGCAATCTGTACTCTTCGGATCTGGCCGTTGTCACCTCCCTCAAAAGAAACATGTCTAGTTCCGCCACGAGGATCATGACACTAAAACGGCAAAGTGTTCCGAGTCATTTATCATGCTGTAACAACTTCGTTGGGGATTGCATGCACACTTATCCGGATGAACTACCACTCTCGGGTATTTGCTGAAGTGAGAATACTATATGTAATTTTGCTTGAAATGAATTAAAGATCACTTACGCTTGAGAACATCCACCACGGTGTAAATTTAGCCATATCATAACGAAGAATTGAATTGAACCTATTTTTGTAACTACAGAAACCTCTTTTCTACAATTATGAGAATTACAAAGAAAAATCTGTGAGTGGTCATTGCATTCTGAGTTACACAGCACTCGTATCCTCGATACGTCTGACAATGGTGCGATGTAACTTCGATGCAAAATCATCATCGAGCAATTGACATTCATGATGTAAACCAGTGTTGCTGATAGCTTCTGGATGTAAATTCTAGGAAGGTAAGCATGGCAAAATTCTGAACATTTGGACTCTGATTTTGCAAGATGGTACATGTTGCACAATCAAAAGAACATCAGATAAAATACTGAGCTTCATCTCGTGCACCTACCCGAAAGAATTCCTGATTGTATACTCATCGTGAATGTTCCACAATAGGATGATCACTTCGATATTGTGGTATTTAGAAACATTAAATACTCCGATTTGAGGATTTTAGTCGGTCGTACGAAACAGATTCTTGTATTAAAAGAGAGGTATTTCTTATTTTTAAGATTGTGAGCCTTCTCTCATTGTCAAGACCACTATCAGAATTTCCCATATCAACCTCAAATATGCGTCTCCAAAAGCTCCTCGTCGTTCTCTCTTCTCTCACTGTCGTTGGACTCTCAGCTCCAGTAGCTTCTCAAGGTATGTAAGAGAGTTAGACTATTTCCTAGTACCTAGATAATAGCGAATAGCGCCAAAAATACTATGAAGGCCCAGCATGTAACTCACAAATAAACAGAAGGAAACTTCGAGATCATCGAGCGCAACGAATCTAATCCTATAATCCTCGCCCAACATGACTCCGAAACCGGCGCTCACTACATCTCAACAATCGCCGAGAACGATGCAGCCTTAACTACAGACAAAACCATCGAGCGAGCTCTTGGTCGCAAAAGCATAGACGAACCCAACGAGAAAAAGCATGAAGACAAAGCAATCGAACGAGCTCTCAGCCGCAAAAACACAGACCAACCTCTCGAAATCCTCGTCTCAACATTGATAACCAACCAGAAAAAGCGCGGAGACGAAACCATTGCATGGGTTCCACCACCACCAACTTCGAAGATTCCTCTAGCACGCGGAGATGCAACGATAGTTTGGGTTAAACCTCGACCTACGCCTAAGATTCCTATGTAATTGCTTCTTTCGACTGTTTTTGTTCCGACATCCGCTGCATCTTTGTCAAACTTAGAATTTGGGCTTGAGTGTATTGGGATGGGAGGAAGGAGAGCTGTGAAGTGAAGAATTATGATGTTACAAAACATGAGGTTTTGATCGAAATTTGACATTTCAAGGATGGGATTTTGCACTTGCCGAATTTTGGCAGATTGCATCTATCTAAGATGCGTTCTGCGCACATTCAAAGACCGTAGTTTGGGAATTAGTTCTTGATGTTTCAGTAGTAAATCAGGCGCAGCAATGAAGTTTTAGGAAAATGTGTAGGGAAGTAACAATGATCGAACTCATTTTTCTAGGTATCATAATGCTCTTCTAAAATGAGACCAGACTCAACTCACTGTGCAAGAAGCGCTTGATCTTATTCTAAATGTACTATTGCTTTCTCAAAAGTGATGCGATTATCACATAATCAATGAACTCTTCCATTCGTGGAAGTGGGGTATTAACCCAAATCCCTGATCACGTAGGTTATTGAACGGACTACCTTCAACGAATCATCAGAGGTAGATTCGAAGTCAATTTTTCTTTTCGCACGAAATACTGTCAACTAGCAATTATCATGATGTTGTGCAGAAAAATGGCAGAAAATTATTGGAAATAATTATTATATGTATTCATTATTCTCTCATGATGTTATATTCCATATAGGTATAAAAAGACCTAGTATCTTCGCTCGTTCGACCATCCAAAAAACGCCTCGCTAAAATTCCGATAGATATACATCGCATCTTTTCCCAAAAACCAGATTCTCATCATGGTGATCTTTCTAGATCATTCATTATCAAGTGAAAACAGGAATGCCACTAGCTTCTATCCAGATCAGCCTTTCGGAACCCCGCCAATACTTTTTGCCCCACCCCCTTCTTAGGCGGTAACACACCCTCCCCTCTTCTCGCTACTGGCTGTGGATACGTTGGCTGAGCTACTGTTGGAGTTTCTTGTACAGGTTGTAACGCTGTACTACCACTTCTGCTCGACTTCTTATCTTTCGAAGAACTTGAGCCTGCTCTTTTTGGCGAATCTACATGCGTACTCGAACTCGAACTCCTCGCTTCCACAGGCAAACTCGGTTGTCTATGATCCTCGCCCTTGCCCAGTAACTTTTTCGGTAAACTTGGTACACTCTTCCAGCTTTTCTTGATTTCTTCATTATCTTCTCTGTCCTTTTCCTCTTCTCTTCGTTTTCTAATCTCTGGATCTATTTCTCCTCTTTCCTCTGCTTCTTTGAGTCTTCGGGTATTTATCGTGTCGATAGCTTCAGAGGTAAGCTCTTGCTTCATCATTTTTTCAATTACGTCATGTTTGCGTGTACGTTTGTCGCCCATGGATATTAGAACACCTCCCATGATGTTGCAAGTGATACTACAGCATAGAATGACTGTCGTGAGGGCGAATGGTCGAGTCTTATACGAGATTCCCCACGTACATGCACCTAACGTGATTTGAAGACAAGAATGCAAATCGAGTAATATGACGACGGCAAAAAGTAACTTCAAAGGGAATGCGTAATGGGTCTCTGTCTCGTGTGGCTTATAGAATGTGTGACTTTTGGAAAATTTTCGTTCGTGATATTCGAGGACACTCTGTTCTTCTGGTGAGAGGACGGTATATTCGTAATTTGGCTCTACTTCTATTTGATTTCGAGCAATCATTCTATCGGCGTACTTCTTGGGTATGCGTGGCGCAACTCTACGTGCAAAACTTTTTGGCATTCGACGGGCGCATAGACTCTCGATATCGACTTGAGGAGGTGGAGCAATATCTTCCTTGCGTTGTTCTGGGAGATCATTATGGTCCCACAGCTCTGGGAGACCGAGTTTCTCGCGACGTTTCCAGGTTTTGCGGTGATAGTGTGCAATATAGGCCATGTGGTAGGTATCAACTGCACGGAAAGGAGCTAGACCATCACCAATGATTGCGAAAAGAGCAACGAGCACGTTATCAACAATGTTGACAATATAAGCTTTTCGAGAACCTAGGGATATCCAGCCGATGAGAAAAAGTACCCAGGCCGCACCAAATAATGTAATCAAGGTTGCGTAAACTGTGATGAATAGTCCCAAAGCTATATGAATGAAGTTAGTCAGAGCGGACTAAGAGTGAAAAGTTAACTCACGTCTGCGAACATACTGTCCGAATCCTTTCATTGAACGCTTGAATTTCGCTCGTCGGGAATGAAGTTGATGTCTAACAAGATCATCTAGCTCATCCACCTCGGCGGGCGTCCAGCCACCAAGCCTTTCTCCATCAGGCAAAACGGCATACTCTAATTTTGGCGGTTTCCATGTATCACCATCTGCTTGTTTTTCTGGACTTCGTAGATTTTTCAACTTTGCTTTGATCTTATCAATCGTGCGTACTTCTCCTGGCCGTTCTGAAAGTTTGTATGTCGGCTGACGATTAACAAACCCTCCCATTTGAGGCACGAAAAGGGAATTCTGAACATTGGTAAGAGTGGAGAGAGTAGATATTTCAGGATCTGCAGAGAGTTAGTCTAGTAGCTGAAAAGCTAGTATAACTATACATGCCCATAACATCTAGCAAATCTACCATATCAGGGTCATATTCATGCTCATAAGATTCGGGCTCCTTAGAGTATTCCCCGCGACCAAATAGCGATCGAAAGCGATTGGTAAATACATTTCCTTGCGATGGAAGAGGGTGGTTTGCCGCTTGAGTGACGGATTGTTCTGAAAGCCCTGTACGGTTTTGTTGGGTACTTCCATGAGGTAACGAGGTGGAGGTAGATTTCTCGGAAAAGTCTCTTGTTGAGGGTACATTTCGTGATTCAGCAGTCGACGAGTCGCGATAAATACGAATGGTGGGTCGTTGGTGTGTGCTCAGAACCGACTTTACTTTCCTACCAACTGCAACAATCGGGTTCTCAGTTGTCGAAGACGACAGCGAAGACTGTGGTGAGTCTTGGTGAGCCATTTTGAGGGTGCTTTCTTCAATTATTGTTTGTTACTCCATACCATGAGAATTTGGTACAATTGTTGTAGCAGCACGGATTTGAAGTTCTAGCATCAATAATTGAGTTCACAGAACGTACTCGGTTCGAGAAATAGGCGATTTATTAGAGGAGAGTACAACAGATTGATTTCAGGGTCCAATGGGCCTACTAATGTAATGCTATCTATACATTTATCAGGTTGCACAGGGGTGAGACCCTGTTTTTGGCCGACGATGTCATTTTGCAGGTAAAATTGCAGTGAATATTGCGGTACGCCGGTCACATCCCAGGGGTAATCTGTTGGCAAAGTTCCAAAATACCTTGGAACAGGATTCGTAAATGACAGGGCTACTCAGCTCTGATTGGCCAAGTTCACTAAATTACAGGAGCAAAAAGCAGGTTTCTACTCCATAGAATTTACATGAGGAACGACGAAGTAGAAAAAAGCAACAACAAACAAGAAACAACAAGGACTTGAAATGTTTTGCAGATATAAAATTGATATATACAGTAAGGAGGAAATCGAGCTGTGTCATCTTCGAGGGTCGGATGTTTAGACCCTTTAAACCAACATCGAGAAAAGTGAAAGCTCGAGATTACCTAGTCCGTCTCGAGCTGGTAATTTCTTTGCTTATCAATTGTGTGCACAGACTGGCAGCCGTCAAATACACGTGACTGACACATTAATAAAATCGTCCGTCATGTCTTATCTCAATATTCAGAATCTCTTCGTCGATAAAACGTTTTTAATTAGAATTCTAAATAATATCTTGATCCTTTTCATAGTGATGTTGTGGCTTATTAATAATCGAATTTTTTTCAGCCAATTAGGGATCAAGGGGAACATTTATCTCCTCAAGAGTTTGAGAGTATTTAGTTACATTTTTAATAAGAATCTGAAAACCTTTGATAAAAGAACTTTGAAGGTATATTTGTACCCTTTAAACCCAACTTATTTAAAAAGTAAATATATAATTCGAAAGCTCTAATTTTCTAGTATTTTATAAAACTACATAGTAATAATATATTGATTAACTGAATTTAAATATTATTAATAATATTTGAATTATTACTACTAAAATGTAATAGAAAAAACTATAATAAATTTCGAAATAAATATTTCTTATCAATTCCTATCAATTCCTATCAACTTCTATCTCCTTTTGCCTCTTTCTAACAATCTCTATCAATTTCTTTTAACTCTTTTCAATTTCTATTAATTTCTATTATTTTTTATTAATTTGTAAATGTTTATACCTTTTTTTATAATAATTAAGATAATTAATGTTTTAATAATTAATATTCTAATAAGCCTATTTAGTATATTATTATTATTTAGTTCATTATTATTATGGCTATCTAATCTATTATCTAGATTTTCAATTATTATTTCTGAGCCCGAAACTTCTAATATTTCTATTAATAGAATATTTCAATCCAAATTTCAATATATTTTAAATATAATAAACTAGAAGAGAATATTATTTAATAAGTTTATAATAAATTAAGCTTTTAATAATATATATAATAAAATTAATGGTATTCCTGAAGTATGATAATTGAAGTTCAAAAAGATTTTAAATTATATATTTATTAAAAGTATAATATACAAAAATATCTTTATAGAATACCTTAAAAATATATTAAAACAAGAATTCGCTATTCTTCTTATCAAATTAAAACTTTAAATTTTCAATATAAATATTTCTTTAAGTGAATTTTATAATATTAATTTTTCTAATATTAATTAATTAATAAAAAAGAAAGCTTTAGTTTGATTTTTTATTCTTATAATTCTTATTATTAATAAATACTTTTATTATTTTAATTACCTAAATAAATCAAATATGAAAAACTAAGATTAATAAATCTATATAATTATTAATATGGTAATATATATTCAATTTAAATATCAATCAAATTATCTATATAATATATTTAATTTCTATTTAATGGATTATAGAATCAAGTGTTATTATATCCAAATACTTTTTGATTTTAGAATTTGTAATAATTATAATTATTATAATAATCAAATAAAATATATGATTTTTATAACTAAAAAGGAAATTAAAATATAAGGAAATTATTTATAAATAGTAATTATTTATAATAATTTTAACTTTAAGGAAACTAAAAGAAATAAAAGTCTTAGTTATACCAAAAACATAAAGAATTTGATTATAGCTATATTCATTCTTTATTTAAAGCTTTCATTTTTAAAGCTCAAATAAATTATATACAATCCTACAATTCCTATAAACTTTTGAGATATTCTTGATTCTATTAATTTTATAATAAATCCATTCTTTTGTTAAATAAGTATTCATTTTATATACAATACACTTAAATATATATTAGGAAATACTATCTAATCAATATTTCGGAAAACTAATTTATACCTCAAAATGCCTTATATAAAATATATTCCTATTAATAAGATAAAGTATTAGTAGCTTAATAGTATCCATATAAACAAGGGAACTATAAATAGGATTTACAAAGTTTATAATAATATTTTTAAGATGCAATTAGCTCTTTTAGAGCTTAGCAAATCCACATCATTTGATTATACTACCGATCTCAAGTTAGTATATAATAATCAACTTATAGCAATTCATATATGGGCTATTAAAGTCCAGCAATCCAAATCTATTAATCTTTACAAATATAAAGAATAGATACTTAAATTAACTTTATAGTTTTATATATCTATAGTAGTTCAGGATACTATAATTCGCACTCATTTCAAACCTTTCTTTAGCGAGACTAGCTCTCATTATATACAAGCCGATTTTCTAAACTTAAAGTAAAAGGAATAGAAAAAAGATTCACTTAAATATTATTAAATATATCCTTTATTATCTTAAATATTCAATGCAAAAGTTATATTATTATTCCATTATATATTACAAAAATGCTTTGGAATAATTAATGATATATATCAAATAGAAAAGATGGTTAAATTTATCAAAAAAACTATTCAATACATAACACTAATTAAATTTCTTAAGGTAATAGAGATAATTTGATAAAAAGCTTTTATCTAAAAAGGTTAGAATAGAGGTAAAGGAGTTGATTTAAATTTTATTATTATATATTGTTTATTTCAGGAGATAAAGATATATATAATAATCAATAAAGCTATCAAACATAATAATATTAGTATTATATATCGAATAATAGACCCACTTATACTTCTATTCTAGAAAACTAATTAAATTAAATATAAAAGAGAAATACTTTATTATAAATAATTACTTACACTAAAAATATATTCTTCCAAATTATAGTATAGAATACTTACTTTATTTCTTATCAATTAATTAAAGAAGCTATAAACATATAAAACTATTGATTTTATATAAAAGTATATAAATCTTAATTACCAAATTGATATATAATATTATAAAAACTCAACTCATAATATAAATAAGATATTTGATCGTATTTATTTAACAAATATCTTTCAATATATTCTCAGAAAAAAGATTAAGAATATATTCAGAAAAACTATATTTAAAATATATACAACCTATAACACTACAAAGGATATCCTTTCTTTAACTATAAAATTAGCTTGAAATAATAAAGTCAATTCCAAGTTTATAGATTTCAGAAAAGGGATTTATTTATTTAAAGATATTTAGGAAAATAAAGAAAATATACTAAAAACAAAAGTAAGATTATTTAATAAATAATATATAATCAAGAAAAAAAAACTTTAGAATATTTCTATTAAGAATATAAAAGAATTAGCTCAAACTTTATATACACCATTAGAACTTTTAGATATTATAATAGATTTTACTTAGATATTTGAATATATAATCAATAATAATATATATAGAGTTTTAGAATAATTTAATATAAATTTATTATTATTGATTTGATTTGATACTTAATTAATTCGATTTTTGATAACCTATCAACTCCTACTATCTTCTATTTCCTCCTATCAGTTTATATTAACTCTTGTTAATTTCTATTAACTTTTATCAACTTTTATTAGCTTCTATCAAATCTTTAAAAAGTAAATATTAAATTATAAAATATATAGTATAAAAATATATTATTTAATTAATTCTACTTTATAATCATATTTTCGTTGAAATATTTTTCTATATCAAATAATTAATGAAAATTATTATAATAACTTATATAATTATAATAGATATAAGTTAGATATAAATAAAGATTATTATAATTAAATATTAATATTTTTATTTTGATATTCAAAAAAGAAAAAAACTATTAATATTATTCTATAAAATTAATCAATTCTATAAACTATGCTTAACTATAGTAATCGATTTTGTATACATAGGAAAAACAGTTATATTCTTTTTGTACTATATATGAGTGAATAGACTATATCTCTTTCTATAAGTAATCTAACAATAGCGAATATAAATTGAATTAGGGTGAGTTACTTATTGCAAATCTTAATTAAAATAAACCTAATATTTGAATTCATAATCACAATAGAAAACATATTTTTTTTTTTAATAATTGCTCTCCAATTTCCGATTTTATAATTCGAGTAATATAATTAAAATCTCTTTATTTATTCAAAATAGCTTTATCCCAATTATTATTATTTATATATTATTATTTATATTGCTATATTAATAAATATAATTCTTTGGATTTAATATTATTTTAAGGCTATAGGTAATATACTATATAGTTTTTCTATATTTCCTCAAAAGTCTTTTTAGAAATATATTTCACTTCAGCTTTTTCTAGCAGGTATATAGTAATAGTATTATTGTTAGTATTAATAATACCTAATATATACTGAGTAATAATATTATTTGTGGTATTAGTATTGCAAATATACAAGTTATCATTTCCTTTGCCTCCAATATTGAATTCTTCATCACCTCTACTTCTATATCCAAATCTATTATTAAAATATTCAGAGAATATATTCGATAATATAGAAGTGACTATATAGAAAACAATTAATATATAGAAT